CTGACTGCAAGGGATTCCTTGATGAGTGGGAATCCAAAGCAGCTGTGTGAAAACGGCCGGTTTGCAGCTCCCAAGCTGGTGCCGCGTTCTGCCCAAGTATTAGCCCCGGCCTGCTTCTGTGTAGGGGTTTTCACTTTAAATGTCACTGCTTCAGAGGAAGGGTTTCCAGATAAGATCACCCAGCATGCCTCGTTACATTTGAATTTCAGATAAATAAATGATTTTTTAAAGTATAAGTATGCCCCAAATATTCCATGGGGCACACTTACACTGAAAACAAACAAACAAAAGTTCTGGACCCAAAACGAAAGTGTAACTGGATGTCCTTTATTTTTATTTGCTAAAACCGGCAACCCTGCTCAGAGGGCTAAGCCTCCCGGGGTGCCCTTCTCCTCGGGGACCTCCTGCCGGGGCCAGCTGGTCATTCTGAGCACTTGTCGGCCAGTGCTGGCCCTCAGCCCAGCAGCCAGGGCAGCGGGTCCCCTGCTGTTAATTACAGCTCCTGCTTTGGATGGGAAGGTCACCAAGTATCAAGTGGGGCCCTGAGGACTCTCTAGAGGGTTCAAGTGGCTCTTGACACCTGCCTACAGCTTGGGGTTGTGGCTCTGACTTATCTTTGATGCGTAAGATTAAAAACCAAAAAATAAACACCTTGCCTTTCTTGCCATCTGATGCGAGATTCTGGGACACAAGGGCAAACGGTGGAGCAGCGTGGGCACTGGCTGGGAGGATGTTGCCAACTGCCATCTCTCTTGGGCAAGGAAGGGCTCCTACAGCTGAGGGCCCCGGCTCCTTCCCAGAGCCAGGCTGAGTGAGCCCTTGCGAGCCAGCTGTCACATGGTCCATATTTGCTGTGTTACCCAAGAGCCATTTGATGATGCTGGTAGGGCTACAGCAAGAGTGGAGGGAAGGCAGGGGCATGGGCCCAGGGAAGGGCGGCTGCACCGTGGGCCATCCATCCCAGGACCACTTAGGCCAGGGGTGTGCCCAGCTCCTAGTGAACTCTTACTCTGTGTGCTACCTCAGCACTAATTCTTGCCCCAGAGCCAATTCTCGTGACTCCTTAGACACAGAATGTTTAATTTTTTTTGAATGTTTAATTTTTTAACTAGAAAATGTACTTTAGAGTAACCTGAGAAAAATAGAGAAAATCCAAAGAAATCTCCAGCCACCAGAGGATTCTTTAATCCTTTAGGTTTTTGTGTAAACAAATGTTACCTAACTGGCCATGCCTCCAACCTGCTGGGTGACCTTGAGAAGTTATTGAAACCCTCTGTGACTCAGTTTCCCTTCCTTGTAGGGTTGTTGGGGAAATTAAGTTGATTGTAACATGTATGTGGAACAATGCCCGGCTCCTGGTATGGACTGTGTTAGTTTTCACGTCATTAATCCTGGGCTAAAAACTTTAATATTATTATTCCTTCTGTGTTCACTATAATGATGGTGGGGGAGTCTAATACAGCTACTTCTAACTTTTCGCATGGACACTGGATATCTTTGTACATATTTGCTCACAGTATGATTACAACCATGGGAATGAAATGACTGTGTTAAAGTGCACTACAGTCATGTGCCACTGACCCACGGGGAAACGCTCTGAGAAATGTGTCCTTAGGTGATTTTGTCGTGTGTGAACATCACAGAGTGCATTTGCACACACCTACATGCTACAGCTTCCTCCACACGTGGGCTGGTCCGTACAGACTATTGCCCCCAGGCTATCAGCCTGGACAGCATGTTCCTGTACAAAACAATGAGATTAAATCAAGCCCAAGAGAAAATGATGCAATCAAGAGATGCACTAAATGAGACGTGAGGCTGCTGCAGGGATAACGTGTCAGACTGCTTTACAACGACTTATTTTCCCCTTGGCCAGCTTGGCGTTGACCTATGTGAATCAGTAGGTCATGGCTGGATTCCCAGTCAGGTCACACGCCTGGGTTTCAGGCTTGATCCCCAATGGGGGCCTGCAGGAGGATGATTCTCATCATTGATGTTTCTCTCTTTCTCTCTCCCTTCCTCTCTGAAATCAATAAAAACATATTTAAAAAAAACACACACAAAAAGGCTAGTTTTTATAAGTAGGAAGAATACACTCTTAATAAAAAAGTATGGACAGTAAATGCATAAATCAATAATATCGTCATCTATTGTCAAGTGTTGTGCCCTGCACATAACTGCAGGTGCTGCACGTTTATGCCTGGCAGCGCAGTAGGCGCATTTACGATGGCATCACGACAGTCACGTAAGGTGTCACGCTATGACGTTATGACGTTAAGGCTGCTGTACGGCTTGACGTCGGGCTGCGACGTCACCAGCTGAGAGGCGTGCCGCTCGCCTTGCCGCGTGTTTCCTGCAGGTCCTCAGGGAGAAGTGCTGTGGCGCTCGGCTCTGACCGGCGACCCTGCGGACCACGCACCAGTCCGGGCTCTGGGTGCGGAGCCCTGCGCAGGCAGCCGCGGGGTAGGTCCATCCCGCTCCGCGTCCGTGGAGGAGGAATATGCGGGAGGTTGCAGGCCTCTGAGGTTGCAGACCGTGGCCCAAGCCGCGGTCCGTTCTGGAAGGTCCAGGTGGAAGCGGTCTGTGCCCCAACCCCCATGAGGCACCCCCAGGTGCTGCGCATGTGCGTGGCCCGCGTCTCTTCCCAGCTTCCCTAGGCCAGTGGCTGGCAAACCGCGGCTGGCGAGCCACATGCGGCTCTTTGGCCCCTTGAGTGTGGCTCTTCCACAAAATACCACGTGCGGGCGCGCATGTACAGTGCGATTGAAACTTCGTGGCCCATGTGCAGAAGTC